TAAAAATTGAAAATACTATTAAACAATTTTAGAACAATTTTAAAATATTTATTTGATGAATTTTTTTTATAGGGTTTACATTGGACCAACCATCTGAAATCATACATAGACTTTGTGCTTTTGAAATTTGCCGATTTGTTTCTATTTTCACCTCATCATAAACTTTATCTAATAACTCTTCTGCAAGCTTTCTTTGATTTGGTAATTTAAATGCAGGTCGAATACGCTAAAAAAATTTAATTACATATAGATTTTCAATAAAAGAAAATGATACACCCTGTTGCGAATAATGCTTGAGCTAACATAAATTCAAGAGTTTCTTGTTCTTCTTCATTCACGTGATCAATGAAATTAATAATTGGTATAGTTTTTGATTGTCTTTGAACACGTGGAATAGTAGAATTTTTAAATATTGATGTTTTAGTCTTAGCGACTGATGGAGCATTTGTTTTTTTTTTAATACTTGATTTTGCATTATCTGGTGCACTTAAACAAGTATTATCAAGATGTGCTTGCATTCGTGTAGCAATCCCATGCTCAAAAATTTTGGTGCAGTATTTGCATTTTACGTGAGGATGTGATTTGTCAGTTTGAGTATTAGGTTCACTTTCAGACTGATTCTCAGTCAAATTTTCAGTTGAATTTTCTTCTAAAACTGTCCAATGCTTCCATACAGAACCCTTTCTTTTTCCCATTTTGGTATGTATTCAACGTTAATGTTTAATACGTAGTTAATATCAATCTTATTACAAATTTTGATTTTTATTGGTTAAAATTTGTTACACAAAATTTATTATACCAATTATACGGTATAATTTAAATTATACGATACCAATTATATGGTTATTATACCACATATATTATACCACGGTATAATAACCCCCATCCCTAGATGTGATCTACAACAGTCAATATTGTCCTTATGGCGCTATATATATACATGGGTGTCAAATCATTTTACTCTTGTCGTAAATTTAAATGCCTAAATTATTTTAGACAGCCTAAATCGTAAATAATTTATTCTAGGCTTCTAAAATATTTTAGGATGTCTAAAATATTTTAGGATGTCTTAAATATCTTTGGATGTCTAAAGTATTCTGAATGTCGTCTTTAGAATAAATAATCTTAAAAATTGAATATGTTGAATATTAGTCAGAAGCATAATCATCATCGAATTCTTGGGTCTAGATCAAAATTCTGAAACTTAATTATCGCCAATCCGGATAAATCCGTCATCCATTTATCCGTATCTGAATTATCCAGATAATCCATATCGGATAAACAGATCATCCGGATAATTCGACAGATATTCAAATAATTATAGTGATTTTTGCCGATCAAAATTTTTTGGCTAATGACAAAGCCGATAAATCTACCAGCTTAGCCGGTTTAGCCGACTTTACAGCTGTTTTCATAATTCCTGGGACACCTGTAAAAAAATTAGCCTAATGATTTTCAGTCGATCCGGTTAATTTATTATTTCTATTTCGGCATAATAAATTAACCGGATCGGCCTGCAGGTATTCCAGGAATTATGAAAACAGCTGTAAAATTACACCATTTAATTCGGACTTTACTGAAAATTTTTTGGCCTCAACCCTCATATTTTAGGCTCAACTCGAATGCTACACAATCCTACTAATAAAATCGACTGGCTAAGCCGATAATTTGCTTTTAGCCGATATTTTTTCACTATCGGCCAAGATCAATAGTAAACGGATATCCGACAAATTTGGATAGGATACTTCGGATAACGGATT